TGATCTCTAGAGGTCCCTTCCAACTTTAAGGATTCTATGATTCTATGATCACATACTTCATTATTTGGTTTTTCACATGGTATATCATCTTCCTTTGTAGAATCCATATCTTTTTCTTCTGTTTCAACTTCTGCAGCTGAGCTATTATCCTCTTTAGGAGATAACTGCAAATTGAAAGTCAATACAGAGTAACTAAAAAATGTGACGAAAAATTTGTAGAGAAATAAAAGTGGAAAGAATGCAATCAGTCTGCTGCCTGCTACTGCTGGCTTGCTTTGCTAAAACAATTTAAGTCCAAATTTACACCGCTTTTTCAGCGACACATTAAAAGCCCAAGCCAGGATACCTTCAGTCCTGTAYGTAATTGCAGATAGTGGTCAAAACATATCACAATAGAGCAGTGTGCGATGATGGAAATTCAATTTGTGTTCATGGTAATGAAATTAAGCTTTTTTTCAATCAGTACTTCTAAGTGCTCATACCAATATTTAGCATTTTTATGGACCACTGTTTGTGGTGACACATGTACGGGTGACACAAGGATCTCATTTATTAAGGAACCTCACTCTATTGAACATGGATCTCATGCAAGAGACAGATCACAAACAAGATGTTTAATCATTTGTCAGCTAGGATTACATGACAAAAATTACCAGTGGCTAACTACTGTGCCTTTTTTTTTTTTTTTTTTTTAAACTCAGACAGCACTTTAATTTGAAAATCAAGCCACATGAACTATCCATCAAGCTGTATTAGTTTCGCTGGATACAATCACCATGGTGTTGCAGCCAATGTTTGTGCATGCTCTGTTGGGCTCTTCAGTCCTACCTGCACAGGCTATTAAACTGTGGTCAAAAAGAGAAAGGAAAGTTTAACCTTTGCAATCATTCCTACTTGCACCTAGCCGAATGATTTTTTTTCAGCTGTACACTGATTTAGAAAGACAGATCTGTAAAGAAATTCAAAGTGTATCATTTTAAAATAAGAGAAATACAGAAATAAAATGCGTATGCCTTAAAACAACCAAAGGAAAGGAAGTTACAATAGTAAAGTAACATCATTTGAAAATAGGAAATGTCAGAAGAAGATCTGATAAAACATTAATTCAGTTAGTTACCTTTGGGACAGCAGGCTTTCTCCTTTTAGCTCCTGCTTTTTCTTCAATCCCCTCAGCAGGTTCTGGACTGCTTTCCTGAACCGTTTCTTTAAGAGGACTGTTAACAGCTGAATGGGACTTCAATATAAAACATATCACAGTTGATATCTAAATCCTTTTCTGAACTACAGAGTAGTAATATTGATAAAAATATAAATTCTACCATCTGTAAGCTAATAAAAAGGTCTTCCTAAGGAATCTTCTACTTGAACTGTAATATTAAAAACTTATTTTATAACTTACACTTTTTGATTTAAATGGTGTTTTCATTAACTTTCAAGCTCATACAATAACAATKATTTATTTTCCCACTGCAAGGTAACATCTACTTTAATTATAAAGTAAAAATAAAACAAAAACATAGCTTTGAGCCGCATACAATTTGTGAGGCTCCTTGACCAAGAGATGAAGTTCATATTAGAAATGAATTTCAGCATAAGGTATTGTCTTGAATTATGTTAACCTAATGCAAACTCCACATATGTTTTTGTTTTCCAGTACAACTACACGTCATAAAGCCTATTAGTAGTTCTTCACCAAATAACATAAGAAACAAAATCCACTATAGAGAACTTTGTCTAGGCACTGTAAAATTAAATGGCGAGAGGGGGAGGGGAGAGACAGGCGAGACAAACCAAAAGCATTCTCAATACATTGCGTAAAAAAAAAAATTAAAAAAAAAGTCTGAGCTTTCCGCCTTTTAAATCAACTATCAGTCCTCAGTGAACAGGATAGTGATTAGCTGGTCCTCAAAACACAACCAGAAGAGCATAATAAAGACTAAAGAATTAAATTCAACAACAAAGAAAGAGAGAGAGAGAGAGAGAGAGAGAGAAAGGGAAAATTATTATTTTAAATTCCATTACTTTGTGGACAGCATTTTCACAGCCTTTCAACAAAGGCTGAACTCCTCTGGCTCTTAGTTTTTTGCCCACTGAGGAAGTGGTTTTGGATTTAAGCCCAAGCCACAAGCTCCCTTTTACTCTCCACCTCCCTTTCTAACAGTTAAAAACAACATCTGCAAAGCATAAACATTGCTTTCAGACCATTTCAGCTAGTTCTGTCAGTTAAACAGAAAATGCATCTCTCAGAACTTCTCAAGAAAAACAAAACAAACCCACTAAAGAGGTAGGGAGGAAAAGAAAAAACAAGTGAAAAACTGAATCTCTCTTGATGAATGACTAAGTTTGTCTCTGATACTGTCTTGTGTTCAACCTAAAAATCTTACTTTGCCAACACCTCCATATAACTTTTCCATTCTAACCTTTTTCTCTRCACCCAAACACTAAATTCTCTACTTATCCTTAGTTTTTAAGCCAATAACTAAACTGCCTTTCCAAAATACCATAACTGTGCTTCACCTAACTCTTCTTAGCTGAAGTGGTGAGAATTAAGCATCCAAAACATGGAACACGAGTAACTTGACTCCTATTAATGTCTATCAAAGTAAAGCGCTTTTGAAATAGATGCTACCAGCACCTGTTTTATTTCAGATCAGGCAAGCCTTAATTTATCTTTTTCGTGTCCTGATCTGTTTCACAAAGTGTTAGTTTTAGCCAGATATTTGGAGAGGTTCTCCTTCAACACTAGAAAGAACTGCCTACAAGCAAAAGCAGGAGCTGGCTAACTCCTGAAGGATTGATTTTTCTGACAAGTAAAACCTTCTTTTAACAGTGCAAAGCACAGGATACAAATAGAGACAAACACAGCAGAAGTTTCTATTGTTAAAGTGAAGATTTAAAAGAAAAATGATGAAAGTCTACTGCATTACATCATTCACTCTAAAAAAAATTCAATGAAAAATGGTGAATTAGTTGTCAAATCCTGCAGTCCAGTTGCTTTAACAGCTAAACAATCGCCGCTAAGTAACATTTCTTCTTTCAATAAGCTTAAGGTTTATTCACAGGAGGAAAATTTAAATATAACTTGTGGAAATAAAAAGATTTTTTTTCTTTCTAAATGAAGAACTGGATGGGGTGAAATAGTAAAGAACAACCCAATGCCTCTGTATCTAACCCTATCTGTCCACAGAAGCCTGAAAGACTTATCACAGAATCTGGAAGTGTCTGAATGGAACTCAAGAGGTAGAAAACATATGCACTCACAAAGGCCACTGGACTAAATAAAGTAGGTATCTGTTGATGCTACATTTTATGCATTTCCTTCGGAAATGTAAGCTATTTAAGAATTATCTCGGTTGCTGTGAAAGCAACACAAAGCAAAGCATTTTCGTTGAAGCATCAAGCACGTTAAGTGATAGTCTGGAGGCAAGTGTTGCATTGCTTCCAACCAGAAGGAAAAGTACAATATACAACATAACTGTGGAATGAAACGTTACAAAGATATCTATGGAGAAAAACATTTGGTCTTTCAGAATAAAAGCAGAAAGACTTAACCTCCACAAGTCATTAATTTTGAAACATATTTGTATATCACCTATGAAATTTATCACTTGATATGTACTGTGACTAAGAAGAATCTTAAAACATGTTTATCTCTTAATAATATTAACCCTGTACTCCAAAACTCCTCAACATGACTCCTTGTGAACTTACTATAATAGACAGACTTCTCCAAGTATCCAAAACAGCCATATATTTTATGTTACAGAAATAACAAAAAAATGCGGAGACATCTATTCGACCTAGAACTGATAGAACAATATATTGCCTTACAGCAGAAAACTCCTTATCTTTTTTTTTCCACAACAGATTAGTAACAAAGACTTGCAAACCACAGATAACTCACCTGCTGATGAGAGAACTTCACTTTGGGATTGTTGTCAATTTCCCATAACCCTTCATTAAAGCCTTTTCTTTTATTTGGTTTGCCATATTTATCTTTATTTTCAGAATAGGGGAATATATCCTTTGGTCCCAAAAAAGCCCTTCAGGAGAAAGAAAGAGAGGACAGAAAAATGTTAACCACAAAAATCTTGTTTTAAATGGTTAAGTCTTTCCAAAGTAAATCAAGTGTGAAATTCTATTAAGATAAAAAAACCTGCTACCGAGGCAACTGATAAGTATCTTAATTTTCCTAAATCACTGCCTTCAGTAGCCCTCTTCAGCTACTGCGACTATACAGTGCTCTTCTCCTTGCTGCAACAGGAGTATCTCTGCAAGAAACGACCAATGCTTTGTCCCATTAGGATTGCAACTGATAAGGCAAACAAAACAATTACAAACTAAGAAGCCCATTTATGAACAAGGAGAGTATTTGCCTCCTCAGGAAATACAGCCAAAATTTGAAGAATTCAGAATTCTTACATGCTGACAATTCACTTTTAAATGCAAGAAAGCAGTTAACCCAGTGAAGAAAAACTTTTAAAAGTTATTAAATTAGAAACACTACAACTAAAAGATAAAATTAAATAAAAAGCTTTAGCAAATCTGAAGTTAAATAGTAATACCAGAAAACACTGAATGCCCAGGTCTTTACAAGAATGCTACATAATCCAGTATTACCMTATAGTTTTTCAGTGTGTGAAGGCAGAACCTTGATCAGGCAATCTCCTTATTTAAGTTATAAGAACTGCTTCTTATTTTAAAATGCATTAAATAAACATTAAAAAAAAAAAAAGTTTACTCTATTAGTACAGGACTAAGGCAGTTTGTATACCTTCATCTACAGATACAGGTATACAAAACAGCCAACCCCCACAACACAGCCCATAGTGTCAGATATACAACTGTCACTGTTCGCCTAGTAGCTCGCTGTGTCAAAGCCCATCCTTTCACCTTCTCGAAGATGGACTTGTAAAAACAGGATAACGAATGAAGAACAACATTCTGATGTGTGCGCTCAAGAACCTAAGCAAATTCTTAGTTTCTGCTGTACTCTMTCTGGATTTCACAGAAGTAATTCAAATGATGCTAACAGAAAAGGATGACATTTCAGTGGTTCACTCTCATTTTCACTGTCTGCCTATATCCAGCTCTACCTGATTTTATATGTCAGACTGAACTACTTGAAAAGTTATAGCTATTTGATTTCTGAAGTAATAGCTCAGGGAAAAGTTAAATGGATATCACTATGTTCCAGTTTCCTTTTCTTTACCACCTTTAAAAAGAGCTACTTGTAAAATACACCTGCTGAACAAAAAAGGGAAGTTATAAAACATCTAGAAAGCTTAAGCATTTCCGGTCCCAGAAGTGAAAACATTTAACTATGTGCACAGTGTATTATGTAAGGCACTGTGACAGACTGCCTGCAAACCACTCACCTCTTTGCAAGCGATGTTTAGAATTGTTTCATTGGAACCATGCATCTGCAACACCTACTTACCCACAGCAAAAGGCTGAGGAGTGAGGAAGAAACAGGAAGAGAAAAAATAGGAAACACTATCTCCATTCTTCCCCTACCTTACTTCCTGAAGGGAAGCATTTTTCCAAAGTTCGTAAGTTCCTCCCATACTACTTCAAAAAAACATCAGGAATTCAAGTTATCTTTCCTGTGTACTTAAAAGGACCGTGAATAGCTGAGAGGGAGAAAGCATTACCATAATGTATAGAGCCCAAAGCCTACATTTCAAAACACAACCTGCTTCTTGCCTGTCACTACATAAAATTTGCTAATTACTAATGTAACAGATCCAAACAAAACTTTTATTAAAATGCAAATGTTTTATTACTATCTTGTGGGAGATAGTATTATTGCTATGTTAAGAGCATGAAAATGAACAAAGCAAAGCTCAATCAAAACTCAAAAGCCTACTTTAAGAACATCTATATACTGGAGAGCAAGCAATGACACACACAGTTGGGTTTGGCAAAACTTACAGAAAATTCAACAATGGTAATCAAAATAGAAGCTGTTTCTAGTAATTTCCAAAAAAATAGTATTTTTCCTAGAAGACAGACACAAATTACTCTGGAACATGGTTTGGGCTTTTCTTTTCCTCTGTTTCCATACAGAAGGCTTTTTTAGCCTTCCATACAGTTGGAATATACTCACACAAAAGGATTTTTTACCATGATTAAGTTCACATTCTTGATTTTGAGAGTTACCATTACTTGAAATAATAGTCCTGAAGAAACACCACGGCTAGCTTTGCACTGGTGTACAGTTTTAACTACCAAAAGTGCACTGGAAAAGAAGCTTAATAAATTCATCATCTATTAAAAGGAATAGAGAATGTTTGACTTCACCTAATTCTTGACTTCACCTAATTCTTGACAGTACACTTGTTCATTACTCACTGTTATAAGGTTAAATAAAATTAAATGTCACTGAAGTGTTATCCTTTTTCACTTGGTCTGCTCCTTCCTATTGTTACTCCACAACCACCTATGCTATGTAAGGAAAGCAAAAATACTACAAGGTCAAGGAGCACAAGAGTTTCACCTACTACCACTTTAAGGTCTAAGAATCACAACATAAATAAGAGACTTAAGAACGATGACTGTAAGCTCATGGAAAAATTCTGTAGTTTGTAAGTACAGGAAAAACGAATTCAACAGAACTTTATCTTATATTCTAAAGAAATCTCCTGTGGACTCCAAAACACAGTAACTCTGCATCTACTGCCTCATCAAAAATTACATCTCAGTAAAATTTTGCTTTGAAAGAATATTAGAATGAACAACATACATTTCAAATTTACATTTCAAATTAGAAAAAAAAAAAAAAAGATAAAAAACCCAGGCAAGTATGACTTAAAACCTTTATTCATATTAAAAATGAAAAGTAACCTGTGTACCAGTGTAAAGGTAGCATAAAAAAAAAAAAAAAACGGAATCAATGTAGCAAGGTTTAATTAAATTTTGGGAGCCTTGTCCGGCCTATAAAGCTACAGAAACAAAAACAGCCAACCCAGTCAACAGCTCCATTGAAAGCTGACACAATTAAAAAATGCACAGTAAACTATGCATAGTAAAAGCACACAGATAATTCTCTATGACTTATTTACCTATAATTTGCTATTTTACTAGGAAAAAAAACAGTAATTTTGTAAGGAAAAAAAAAAAGTTAGGTGATAAAGGTGACACTGAATTTAAAGTCTTCAAAAGCTACCTTAGAACAGTAAGTCCTATCACAAACTAATAGGAAGATCTTCAACAAAACAGAGAACAGCAGGAAAAGCAGTATATATGGAAGCACATTTAGGAGTGGAAGAAAACAATCCCTTCAAAGTGAATTTTGCTACATGCTACATCTAACAAGGATAAATATTTTGCAGAATGACTGATACAAAACAAGGATGAAATCTGAAGCATCAATTGCACCTCCTCATTTTCCCCTGTGTTTCTGAAACAAAGATGACTCCCTTGAAAGCCATCAGAAAATAAAAAAGGCAACAAAGAGCTTGCTCTATTTCTCAAGTTATGCTTATTGATATTATTGTTATTATTATTCTCTGCTTATTTCAACACCTTTGAAAACACATTCTTTTGAGAAATTTGGAGATATAGAAGACTATTCTTAAAACCCATTACAAAAGAATGAAAAACATACCAATCATACCACGTGAAGCATGAACTGGCTTTTTTTTTCTGATTAGAAAAGACAACATGATATGGTTACAATCAACAGCTTACACCAAATGCTAAAAGAAACCTACCTGTCTTGTCAAACAATATCAGTTTAGAAAGAGCTGGCCTGCCAATAAATGCCATAGTTCTAAAACATACCCCAGGCAAACTGTTAAGTTATTGTCAAGGCATTCTGCAAAGAGAGAGGGAAGGAGGAGAAGAAGACAGGAAAAAAAAAAAAAGAGAAAAAAAAAAAGCACTTCCTTGAATAGGAAGGACTTACGTCTCATGGGTGCCAAAAAAGAAAATGGGCATTTTATTTGTAGGAGGTTTTACTGCTCCATCAGGAACTTCATCCACCTAGGGGAAAGAAAAACTGTAATTAAAGCTGAGTAACAGTTAAAACAGTCTAGTGGGAAATATTTAAAAGTGTTAAGTGTGGTAATAAAAAAAAGATGCTGCAGAAAAGCAAGGAGGTTAAACAAAACATATCTCAAAGAGTATGCAACCAAATCAAAGACAGTATTAGCAACAATAGGAAATGACGACTCTGTATTATAGAAATATTTATGTTGCCATTCACAACAATCTTAGGATGGGCTGTAAGTCAAAACAAAATTCAATCCCATCCAAATACCACCACCCCTTCAATATAAACTGTAGCAGCATTTCCTGTCTTCACACCAAACTGATAACGTGTCCAATCCCAAATGCCAAATATGAAAACTTAAAGGTCATTAAACTTTTAAAAATAATAATAATAATAATAATAATAATAATAATAATGTAGGAATTCAGCTAAACCTCTGATAATGAGTCTTCCATTGACATTCCCACAAAAACTAAGGCCATCACAAAACTTAGCACTGCTCTTCCAACTCTACCACTCTTTCATTATTACATCACAACTCTCAATTAAGTGAAAAACTATAGGATTAGCTGGCCTCATTGTTAAAAAACACTCTTCTGTAACTTTTTTTCATGTTAAACGGGAAAATTTACTCAGAAATAGCTGTTTTGTTTTGTTAGGTTCTTGCTGAGTTCTGGCGCTTGTCTGACTACTAAACAACACCTCTCATTCCTAAAAGCAGATTTAAATTGTGCAGTAATACAAATGCTTTTGGTGTTCTGCCCCTAAAACAGAAGGGTGTAAAATACCTTATCTACAAAGAACAAAGAGACACACAAAAGTTGTAAATAAACATGAATCTCGTGAAGACTTTCTTGCACCTCAAAGCCGCCCAGAAGTTCATTTAAAAGCTCCCTGGGGTTCCCCGGGGCCGCAGGGTGTAAACAGAGATAGAACCACTACACGTGTCCCCACGCTCGGACACCCCTGGCTAGGTCGGAAGAGCGCGCGGGCAGCACTGCCGGTCAGGGCGCGCTCAGGGGCTGGGGGATCGGCTTACCCGCGCCGGCCAGTGCGGATAGCCCTTCATCTTGGCRAAGATCAGGTCTCCGGGCTTGAAATCGCGACTCATGTTTTCTCAGCGAGGCGCCGCGAGGCCCACAGGGACGAGGGGAGCAGCCGCCGCCGAGGTCCCGCTGCGGGGAGAAGCGCGGGCGCGCGCGAGGCCCGTCAAGGCCGCGCTGCGCCTCTCCGCGGCGGGCGGACGGACGGACGAGCGGCAGCGAGCCCCGCAACGGCCCCCAACGGCCACCCGCCACGCCCCC